TAATTCTTCTGCCACGTTTCATTGTCCTCCACTATTGACTCCAGTGTCTCTACTTTTGGAGCTTTCCTGGTTAGAAGGGTTAGACTGACATCTTTCCAATTGGCTTTGCTTCTTGTCTGAATCCCTAATAGCAGAAATGCAAGTATTCGGGTTTGTCTCTGAACTCCTGTGTAGCTTGCAGGTTTTCGTAAAGAGCAGAAGAGCTGTCATTCCTCAGGCCTTGAAGTCCATATGACATTGATTCACTTTTGGAAGCCCGTTTTGCAGGCGAAAGGAATTTAACTATTGAAATTTAATTACTAGGGTGTGGGTGGGAAACATGCAAAACTTAATTTTCAGAGGAACAGTTAGTTTATTTCTCTGTGTTTCTTCAGAGTTACCATTGTGTTTGTTGTTGGTTAGCGACAGTGGATTTACATAAAGCAAGACTACAATATATCAAAGCCCTTTTTCGTCAAGATAATTTTCTAATCCTGATTATGCAAGTTATATTTTATTCTGAATTAAAATTTATTTTAATATGTGAACTGCAAAAGCAGGAAAAAACATTTAAACACTCTCTGCTGGTATATAAAAAATGAAAAATCAGTTCACAAAAACTCCAAGAGACAATTGTCGCACTCAAAAACTATTTTGCATCTTACACTGAATCTACAAAATAGATGCATGTAAAAATAGTACTTGCACATTAGTTTTACAGTGGGGACAAAATGCATGCTCTTTTTAAAGTGGGTGTTTAATTCTTATGTACAAAACTTACTCATTTGCTTTGAGTACTTTATGAAACATTACATGACATTGTCGGTCGTGTGGTATACAATATGAAATGTATGTAACGTCTTAAATAAAACCTCAGTTTAGATATGACTTACTGTTACTGAATTGAAGAATCAAGTAGAGGTTTACTTTCTTTGCTTAGGAGTTGATTTCCAGTAGTTTTCATTTGGGTCCTGTCACTTAGGGACCAGAATCTGGTCCCTAAAAGCTTCTGTTGGAGTTGGGTACTCATAGTACTGTCGTACTGTAAGACTTGTGAAAATGGGATGCCTGCTTTTGACAACTTTATGATCCAGTTTAAAACAAATCAGTTTTAAACATGGAGAGGCAGGGGACAAAATGGGGAGAGAAAAGTGAGGGTAAAAATAGGCCCTCTGTGTATGCATGAACTTATGTCAAGTTTCTGGAATGCAACTGAAACTTGAGACACTGTGGGATGTAGTGGACGGAGGGCTGAGCAAATGTTCAAAAGCTGTAAAGGTGTGGTCTGGCTGGTACTGAAGGCATTTATCAGCTGCTGTAATAACTGGGGAAGTTTAAAAATTCCCCTTTGAAGTGGAGGAGTGGGCTTCACAGGGAGCCTTGTATCTACCTGATGTGCTGGTTGGCCAGGACAGCATCCTGCTGCGTTTCTGGGTTTTTGGTTTTTTGTTCTCTGTGTTTTGCTCCTTGTCAGGTGAACAGGGAAAGGGATGATGGCAGGATGATTTGGGGCTTTCAGTGTGATTTCCAAGGAGACACGTCTGTGAGTGTTGGTGGATTTAAAGTGGTCCAATGACTTTTTTTTCTTTTTTTTTTATTTGTTTGTTTTGTTAGTAAATAACTTCGAGTTATTTAAATCAAGTGCCAGTGTTGGAACAAATAAGAGACTGAAGACAGAATTGTGGCAAGACTGACCTACTTCAACTTAAACAGTTATGAAACTGTAGCCTAAAGGAAAGAGTTATTTTACCTGAAGCCACTTCTGAAATACGTTTGGGAAATTCGCAGTAGAATTATTGAAGATGGAGATAGTAGGAGAGAACGGAATAAATGTAGAAAGTCTAAAGTGAAGGTTGCTCAGAAGATGTTAATGCTGCTTGTGCCAATAATACATGGTATTCCTTACTCGTGTATGTGTCAACAATGTTCTTCTGCATCTTGCAAATAAGATACCAGTGCAGCATAAAAAATTTCAGGAATTATATTTGAAGTCATGTGGACAAGATTGCTTGTTAAAGCTCTGTTTTTATTTAATTGCAAGTTACTATGTTGTTCTCTCCTTTTGCTAAAATTAGCCTCATCTTTTTGTGAAAAAGCAAATTCAAAGGTAGGAAACTGCATAGAAAACAAAAACCAGAATATACTTTTGAATCAGAGAAAAGAGTAAGGAAAAAAGATTATGATTTTTGTCTCCTGGTAGACCTGTATTTTAGTACTTCCTTGATAGACCTTAAGTGAGATAGGACTTGAATATCTCTGGCTAATGAATTGGAACTCTCACTGAAATACTCCTGTTCTTAAAGCTCAGTGTAGTATAATAGTAAAAATATTTACAAGGAAGACTATAGCACAAGAAATATGAAATACTAAAGATTAAATAGGAACTACAGGCTTATTGGAAAAATTTTCCAAGTCATTCTCTGGCATTTTGGTCAATGTTTGTAGAAGAATTGTATAGTGCTCGGTAAAGGCAATAGAGCTTTGCGTAGAACAGAGTATCAGTATTTCAGGATTTTGAAAGTACCATACAGTGACAGGATTGGTGTTCCATAATTCGACATAAAACAGTCTCATGGGTGAATATTATAAACTTGGGCTCAGTAAGATTTCTTCAGCCTGATTTGTAAATAATAAAATTTGAGCATTGGCTTTGTGGATCATTGTGGCTAAGATTATCTTGCCCTTGAAATTCAGTGTGGCAAATAGCTTGTCCAGTGGCAAGTCACGTCAGTAAGGACATGTTCTGGGATCCTTACCATGTACGCATTTCTAGCTGTTAGTTAGGAACAGCTACAACAGTATATTGATTTTGGACAATACTTTAATACTGTAGCCTTTGAACCATAAATATAGAATATGGTTCATCTTGTAATATTATATTGGCATTCCTACTTTAAGTTTTAGCACCTGGATCTAAAAATCATTCCCTGTTTGGAACTGCTGTAATGTATGCATGTGACGATGGAAGGACGTTTCCTTACAGTGAATTGAATTTGGGTTCTTCCTTGATTTTTCCAGAACCTGTATTAATGTAGCAATAATAGCACACTTTGTAAATCAGTAGTGCTTTCTTGGGAATCTGAGGAGAAGACATGATTCATAACCTTCAGCTACAGGATATGTTAAATTTGGGATAATTAATCCATAGGCTGAATCACAAGTGGTATGATGGCATAGGCTTCTTGCGGAGCAAAGCTTTTTGTTTTCTGTGGAAGGAAGCCTTGTGCTTAGCAGAAGCTGGGATTCAAAATGACTTTATGTGTGAGTTTTGTTACCGTGGCTCCCTTAGCTTGTGATCATAACCAGTGAAAACGTCTTTTGGCTGAATGCGAAATGTATGGGGGGGGACCCGTAAAACAATTTAAAACACACTGCATAGTAATTCTTTCCTTGTGTGTCTCTTGAGTCTTTATTTACTTTTGATCTCTTCTTATAAGAATAGTGGTGAAAGGGAAACCAAATACCTTTAAGATAATAAATTAGGCACCATAATGCAGTATAGATCAAGCCAGATTTGTGATTTATGGCAGTTCATATTTCTGTCTGTGGATGAGACAAAAGTGAGTGACAAAAATGAAAAACTGAATGACTTTTCATAACTTCTGTGAATGTCATTTGCAAAAGCGAATGACAAAAGTGAAAACCATCCATTTGTGCATTAATTGACAAAAAGTTGTCAGTCATCACTGAACTCTTTCTGTCAGGTGCCAGAGACGGATAGGCTGTATATACAAACTGCGAATCATCTGGTTAGTGCTATCCTTGTTTACCTTTTCTTAATAAAAAGCGTAATCTGTAATGTGTAAGAGCAAAGGAGAAACGCTTAATCTTTAGTATTGTGAAGATGCCATCTTAATTGCAGGACTTGTAGCCTCTCTTTTTTCTCTCCCCCCCCCCCCCAAATTCAGATACCTGCTTTGTGGCTTTCTTCTGTTTCCTTCTCTTGAAGGTGATATTTTAATGGTCCTCAGAGAAGAAAGACTTATGTTGTAGCAAGTAGCAGGCAGGTTCTGGAAAATATGGCATAGCAAATATAGTGAAGACATGAATAAATTTAGAAAACAGTTTTCATATTCAAACAAAGCTGAATCTATTTCCGCATCTTTATGTTGAAAAATTACTGGTAAAATATAGTGAATCTTTCCAGTAAAGTTTACTCTTGTATGATGTGTCTTTTAGACTCTTTATTCTTTGTTAGCTTCTTTTTTGACCTGGGTAGATAACTCTTTGATGTTGGTAAATGTCCCTTCTAAAAATAGATTGGGAGCAGAAAAGTATTCAGTGACTCTTGAGTCAGACTTACGTTAAGTCAGTGGGAAATCATTCTGTCTGCTCTAATGGGGTTTGGCTCAACCTCATGTCATTGTGCATTAGCCAAGCCTCAACTACTACCATACAGGCATTCTCCAAAGAAGAAATGTTTTATTTTCTTTTTAAATGAAACAATTTGCACATTTTTTGCAGTGTTTCTGTCATCCTTTGATAAGTAAATCTTAGTTACGCTACATTTAAAATAAATACTGATCCTGCAAACTCTTATGCTTTTGGAAGTTGTTCTTATTAATGTCGGAAGACATTTAAAAAGTCATTGTCTGAATGAGGACTTGAATAATCAGGCCAGCCTCTGACTTTTTCACAGAAAGGAGAGGAACTGTTTTAGTTACATATTTTCAAATAGGCTGTTTAGAAATTGGGAGGTATGTCTTCATAAAGAAAAGTTCAGTGTTTTTCTCATTGTTCAATGGGAGGTGTTTCTAACGTGTGGGAAGAAACTGAGATGTTAGATATGTGAACTTTGAAAAAAAAGGAAAAAAAAATTGGCACCTTTATAATTTGCTGGACTCAGAAACAAAATGGGTTTGAACATAGTAGTTGGAACTTCAGAATACCATTTCCGCAGCACCTTTAATGTAGAAGTATATACTCTCTGAAAAATGGACAAAGTAATTATTTGCTTAGTATACATTAACTCCGCTGAGCTGTGCTTGGCTAACATTTTTCTCATCTGTTTTTTAGGTTTTGTAAGAGACACCGGATTAAGTCAAATTCAAATGTTCCATGTGTCCCGAAAGACTTGTTGATGATGTCAGAATTAGTTCTTCCACAGTTCATCTTTAGTCTTATTCAACACTTGAGAGAGGGGTATAATGAGCCTGGTATGTTTTAAATTTGCATGTATCTAGCATATCTTACCATGCTGCTATCTTTTGCTTTGCAGTCTGTGAAGACACAGTACATGAATACATGAATGCTATCTATGGTTTATGTCATTGAATTTTGTGCCTCTCTTCCTAACAAAGTTATTGCCTGGCTAGGTGATTTGATTTTGTTCTCTGCTGAAGATCTCCTTAAATATGTTTTAAGGGTTACTTAGCATTGTGTTGATCTCTTCCAGAAAATGAAATCGGGATTAATTTGAAACTTGTACGTGTGAATTTTAGAGCATTATGAATATATAAATTAAGTTCTTTTGTGGTAGTCATAGCTGTTCTGCCTTGTGAAAGTCTTGGCCAAATTACATTACGTTTACACCAAAAGTTCTTTTTATGTGGTTTTCAGCTCTTGATCTGCCATCAGAGAAAGACCTTCACAAAATCCTCCAGGTTTTGGAGCCTCATGTTTCCTTTCTAGAAGACTTGACCAAAATGGGAGGAGCAATGCGATCAGTTCTTACCCAGGTTTTGACTAGCCAACAGTTCTACAAAGATCTTAGCTCTGGTATGTTTGTATTATTTCTAATAATTAAATTTTCAAATTATGAAGAATTTAAGGGCCTACGTTTTGTTTATCACTTCATTTCTGCATGTTTTTATTTGACTTCGCAAAACCCAGAAAAATGCGTGGTTTTAAGGATTTTGTGGTTGTTGTTGATAGAAGGGATGTGGGCTTCAGGAGTGACTAGAAACATTTGTTTTTAAGACCTGTAAAATCAAACCTCTTATCTTCTGTGTCCTAGATAAATGTATAAAGATACATCATTTCAAAAGAGTTTTTATAATAAATCCATTGTCTTCAAAGTGAAGTGAACACAGCAGCTTAGTACTTCCAAATAAGACATATCAAGCTTATTCAAAGTGGAATATATCTAACTTATTTTGGGATCCCCTCTCACAGAGGTTACTGGAAGAGACCTGAATGGCAAAAGGCCATTAGCTGTCCTGCACTTTTGTGCAAAGCTTTTTTCTTTTTTTTTCTTAAAAATAACCCCTGCCATGCACGTGTCCATCCCCCCCACCCCCACCCCCCAATTACTTATTCCATCCTGTACCGAATCACAATGAATCTGAAAATGTTGGGCAGTCACTATTAACCCCAAACCACCTAGTCTAAATTAACTCCATCCTATTTTCTTGTAATTGGAAGGTGTCTTTTTTGAGTCCTTTGCATACCTCTTTTGCATAGGTACGGAACAAATAGTAATTACTGTAGATGTAAGTTGCCATAACTGGCTTGGGCAGCAGCTGGTTGAAGAACAGTCTTTATTTGAAAGGAGAAACACTTAGGAAAGCCTCAGGGACAGTTGTCTTTATTCTGTTTCCTCCTTCTTTTTCTCTCCTGTTCAATAATATTTGAATGGGAGAAATTTAATGACTTCTCTTTTCCTATATGTGATGGTTTTCCTGAGATGGAAAAGTGGAGAGGGAATGGGAAGTAAGGCATTCTTATCTGAGCTCTTGGAATGGAGAATATGTGTCTGAATAAGTACAGTTTCTGGGTAGGGAAGGCAAATAAAGGGATTTTAGAGCAAAACCTGCCCTTCTGACTTTGAATGCAAAAGGTGCATGGCTAAAAAGGTGCTGTCGTCTTTTTCATGTTTTCTGTTCCTTAAACACTTGACACAATTTGCTCCTCTAAAGTTGTATTTTTTCATTATATAACAAATGCGTTGGGTTTTTTTTAGTCCATTTGTTTGTGGAAAATTTTATATCCCAAGCATACAATATGACTTTGCTTCATCAAACAGTTGAAATAATGAAATCTTTATGAATAGCCTCTCTTAATTGCAGCTGTCCAAACTTCAACTTTGAAAGAAAAATTCCAAATATTAGAAGTTATGTATGTTGTATTACCGTTACTGTTTTTTTTGTTTGGTTTATTTTTTTTTTTTCACATTGGAAATCATAGGTCCCTGTCCTTTCTGTCCAAAACCAATTATTTTGAAATATCAAAACAAATCCTTTTTTTGCGGTAGTGTTAATGGTGGCCATACTGGTAAGATAGAAATGAAGTACATCACTTAGAAGAAAACACTGTTTTGGAGGGGAAAACCTGAGAAAGTTTCTGGTCTTTTAGATTTCAGTTCATCAGTTGGAAAAACTTTCTAGCTTCTACATCTCATAATTGTACAGCTTATTAAAACATTGTGGACCATTTTTTAGATTGCTTGTATAGAATATGAAGTGTATGAACCACGTAGCTGCTGTTGTACCTTAATGCTGGTTTATGTATGTATTCAAGGTGTTGGAGAGAATGCCTGTGCAAAGAAAAGTCATGAAAAGTACCTCATTGCTTTGAAAGGCTCTGGACTGGCATTTCCGGAAGATAAAATTGCGTGTGGTATACAGGAACAAGGAGCTGGAACTAGCACATTAGCAGTTCAAGGTTTGTGTAGAAAAATACTTGAAGAGAAGATTTGATTATTGCTGATTTTTATATAAACTGTTCTTTTAGTTTGTTTTAAAAAAAAAAACCTTAGTGAAACTTAAGGAATTACCTGTTACTTAATGCACCACCAAATTACAGGACTCATTTTAATTCTATCAACAAAGCTAAGCATATTAACTTTTTGTTGCTAATATACTAAGCATCATTTCCCAGTCGTAGCATTAGTGGAATTTGAGTAGGCAAGATGAAATTGCTCGTAGTGGAATTTTGTCACTGCAACAAAGCTGAGCCACCTATTCTTACAAAAGTGCTGTGGATTTTTTTTGATCACTGAAGGCCATCAAGAATTTTTTGCAATTTCTGAAAGAACACGTCTCCGTTAACTCAGTATGTTGAAGTTCTGCAATGGAACGTACTTTCAAATCCCTAATTTTGTATTACTTGGAAATCTTACTCCAACTTCTCAGTCCACTGCTGTGTATCTTTTAAAGAAAGTTAATCATAGAATCATTTAGGTGGGAGAAGACCTTTAAGATCATTGAGTCCAACCACAAACCTAACACTGCCAAGTCCACCACTAAACCATGTCCCCAATGTAGTGTTTCATTTCGTACTGGCACATTAAATATTGTAAAATATACTCTCTTTTCAGTATACGATTTATGAAAGGAATCTCTGAATTTTTTATTTCAAAAGGTTTAGCAGGTGCTACGGCAGCATCAGGACAAGGGGATTCTTCAGATGAGGTGAGACTGTTTTTAAAGACTATAATGAACTGCAACTGAATAGTAAATGGAGATAATGCTTGCAGCCAAATCCCGCAAACCTTAACTCTTCTATCTACCACATATTCTCTCCATTTTAATAATTAGAAATAATGGAGATACAAAGGAATAGATCTCATGCCTTTGATTTGCTAAGGACCTCTTGAAAAATCCTTATTTTTGCTAATACAATTTCAGTTTAATTTATGTATGTAATGTAGAAGAAACTTGTGTAGGTAGTTCAAAAGTCACTATCAAGTAAATTGGGCTTGATTAAAGAGAACTTAAAGCATGTGATGCTGTGAATGGTGTTAGCAGTTTTGGGCACTTGAGAATCCAGCTGAACTGGTGATAGCGACAGTGAGAATTTCTCTCTAGATAAATTCCCATATGTAGACTTGACCTTACTTACCAAACACATTGAGTAGGAGTAAAAAGGAGGGAATCTCCTTTTAGATTGAACTGTAATAAATAAGTAGAATTTAGTGAGGAAAGTTAAATTCTGGTAGAGTTGCTCTATCAATTTATTCTCATTTTTTTGCCCTGCTATTTAAAACCTCATTTCAACTAGTAAACCTTAGCAGCCATTCTGGTAGGGTAGTATAACAAACTTTAAATAATGTAAAGTAAGGTTTTTAATAGGATTTTTGCTTACATTGAATTCTATGTGAACTAGTACTGAAATAAAAACAATTGTTCATGCATGTCTAAAACAGTTGTATGACATGTTTGCCTCTGTTATGAGCACAACAGCATCTGTTACGCTTTCAGCAGTGCTATTTATAATTTGGCATTTTTCAAAGTATTGCTTGTTGTTTTTCCACCATCGCTTGACAAACAAACAGACCAAAAAAAGCCCAAAACCCAGGAAAGGCTGCTGACAGTATCACTTTTAAGGCCCATGAAAGAAGGCAGCAATTCACGTTAATGTTAATAACCTCGAGTAGTATTTTCAAATAAACTTAAAATGGCTCAGCATGCTTCCTTCTGTTTTACCCCTCTAAGTGACAAGGAGAGAGGAGTAAACTGAAGTTGTTAAGAGTCTGAAGAGAGATTAGATATTGCTGATGTTTCTTTTGGGAAAGAAGTCCAAGAGGGAGGTAGAGACAGAGGTGTATTTTAGGGAGAAGTAGTTTTTTATCAGGAAAAGATTTTTCAAGGAAAAGATGTTTTATGAATAAAAAAGGGAGGAGTTAGAGCAAGTGCATTACAGCTTGCTAGTTAAAGATACTTGTTTTCTACAGATATTTTTCTTTCTCATCTCCAGGATATAAAGATGTACATGTACATATTTTAGGTTACTGCAGGTGTGATTTTTCTAAATTGAAATGCTGCATATACTGACATACCTGGAATCAATTTTAAGATGTTAATTACACTATTAGGATACATTGTAAAAGAGCACAAGACCCTGTTTTGACATCTGTATTTAGAAATTTTTTTAAAAGAATGAGAAAGTAACATGCAGATAAAACAACAAGCCCTCAAAATTTAAATGTTTTTTAGTATATATTTTCACTTCTGAATTTTCCTTTCATATGTTTAATAAAATCACATTGATACAGTATGGGATGCAATTAAAAATAATATCAGAAGTTATTTGTTTTTTATTTTTAAACAATAAAGCCTCAGTTAGTGGCATCTCTGAAGAAAATTAACTTTTTATTTTATAATCTTTTTCTTAATCATGGTCTGCTTGATAAATATGAATTGCTGAAAAGAAAGTCCAGTCCTTCATCCAAAAATCAAAACAGAAGTATGAAGGTGGAAGGCTGAAACACTTATTAGAAAAATGATGTTACTAGAGAAATGCTTCCTAGAGAAATGAGGAAAAAGTTATCTTGTTTTATGACTTCTTTTCCTCTCCCCTGCCCTCCCCTGTAAGTTACAAAGGACATTTACAGGTTTGGGGTTTTTTTATGCCTTATTGTACTTTCTTATGGCAGAGTAAAACTATGGTTTAATTAAGAAATGTGGGAAGAGTTTACTTTTAACTGGATTTTCTTCCTCTGGTGTTTAAGATGAATCTAGAAAGGTTAATGTTCTTTCTTACCAAGTAAGTCTTAAAGGTAGCATTGTTTCACAGATATAAGGCTAGATTACAAAATTCACATAGGCTACAAATTAGAGTAGTGCTTCTGCAAGGAACTAAATAGCTTGAAAAGTTTTGCATAGTTCAGTATTTAGTGTCACTTCTACAATAGTAGATGATTCTAAGCTAAAAATGAATCTGAAGGATGAATGTATCCTGAGATATGTGTTGTGGGTTGATTTGTTTTGTTCCACCCCCACGCCCCTGAAACAGTATAGGCTCACTTGTACTTTACTTCTCAAATGATTTGTGTTCCATTCTGTGGTATTTTGGAGAGAACTCACCATTAGTTTCCTCTCTTAGCTTTTCTTCCTCATGTTTTCCTTTCTGCAAAGGGAGAAAAAAGGGCCCTCTCTAAACCTGTCCTCCTGTTTTCAGTTTTTATGTTCCAAGCAATCAAATAAAACCCAGTCCATGACCGCTTTTACTACACTGGTGAATAAACATCTTTGTATTGGATATCTCTATTTGGCTGCCCTTGTAGTTTATTGAGCACCAAATGCTTTATTACTCAGTTATGTAGTTATTGACTCCTATTGCTGTTTAATGTAATCACACAAAAATCTATGTATAGTGTCTAATATTAAATAAAGTTTATTATCTGAATTTACAACAGATGTGGCACACCTTAGGCATATTGCTAAATACTCTATTGTGTAAAGTAAATCTACATAGATCTTTGCTGTTATCCGGGTATGTTTACACAGCATTATCCAATGGGTGAAAATAAGGTGTTCTACGTTTGCCTACTCGTTCTCTCACTCTTTATCCCTGGGCTTGGCAGACACCATGTGACCTAGCACTCACTATCTCAAGGCTGTTATAGCTCCTGCACTTGACATTAAGATTTAATCCTACCTTACTGAAGCAAGGGAAACCAACTGTCTAACATTATTAAGGGGGGAAAAAAAAAAGAGTTCTCAAGAAAGAGTTTTCTTGTTTTTAGTGGAATCACTTCAAAAATTAAAATGAAGACTGTAGTCTATTTAAATTTTTTCAAACTGTAGAAGGGAAAATGCATTTTGTTTGCCAGAGCATGGTATCGGAGGCTAGAATCCAATACATTAATCACAATTTGTATACCCAAATGCATTATTTTCTGGTTAAGGCCTCTTGCAAATCTCTGGATTAACTGAGACTGCTGAAGAGGTCTTGAGACCTCCAGCTGTCAACTTTTAGCTACAGGAATTTAGATTCCTTTTCTTCAGGGCAGGAAACTTAAATTGCAGGGTCCTGCGGTTCATAATAATGTCTCAGCAGACCTGATTTTTGCTTTAGAGTGCGTGGCCCTCTGATGGGGGAGTGGACAGTGGCAGCATCCTGAGAACTGCCTGGCTCCCGATTGAAGTACAAAAGTAGCACGTGTTCACAAAGACCACAGGACACCTAAGAGTTCAAATGTGTGTCCATCTTAAAATGATTTTTCAGATGGAGTTACTGAAAGGGTAGGAAAATTCAGACCTTTCATTAACATGATACTTTTGGTCAGTCCTTAGACATAAAATGTGGATGATCTTTCTCCCCAAGGAAGGGTAGTCACTTCTTGAATACCAAGCTCTTTATAATTCCAGTGAAGTTTGGAAGTAAAATATGGCATTTGCTTAGAGGAGAAGGATATTGATTACTTATTTTTAACAGCAGATATTTGCATTAATTATCTCTCATTTTATTAGATCCAGTAGGAATCTTTATTTCCACTGTTTCATTAGGACTACCATTGTTAGTAAAGATCCATGCAGCATTTAATATAGCCCTGTAATGTCATATTCTCTAACACTCAATGTTAGATATTGTAAAGTGGTGGTGATGATGTTTTATCTTGCATTGTGTTTTGGAACCTTTGGTGTTTTTGTTTGTAGAGTGCCTTGAAAGCTTCAGATGACAAGTGCCTGTGTAAAGTGTTTCCATTATTATATAAGGAACAAGCGACTAGAAGTCAGCAGTTAGAATTGGCATCTTAAAGGTGTCAGAAATGCTTTATTCTTGCATCAAAACTTTATATTGATTAGAAAATGTCTAACTAATTGTCTGTTGCCAACTTTCATAGTTAATATGTTGGCTGATATTTTTTTTTTCAGGAAACAAAAAACCCCAAACCCTACAGATGAATAAGGTGAAACCTTGGATGTGCAACAGTTGGAAATTTTGTAGTAATCAGTTTCAGAAATCAAAGCAAGTAACCTCACAAAATTAATTAAATAGATGAAGATGTCTGAACTTGCAGATGATAATGTTACCTGTAGGGGAAAAAAGGCAATTTTAAAAATTGTGTTTTTTCTAATGAGTTACACGGAGTTCGCGGCTCCTGTAAACAGTAGAAGTATTTTTCTGTTAAGAGAGTATATTCAGGACTTTTCTCTTTTAGCTTGATAGTTAAACCAGAATTTTGAGAACATACCATCTCTTGGCAATAAAATTCTAAATATACGATTATCAATTTTTTAAACTCTTCTCCTACCCCAGGAGGACCAGGATGGTAGCCAAGGTGTGGGCAAGCGCAAGAGGGTGAAACTAAGCAGCACCACCAAAGGTATTTATAAAGTACTGATCTCAGTTTATCATATTTGTTTTATGTCTATCTTAAAAATTATCTAGGGGTATGCATTCACTTCCCAAGCACAGTAGTGCTGTATGTGACAGGTATTAAATACAGCAAAGTCTAAAAAAGAATAGCAAGTGAAATTGTGGCACTTGACAACTTCAGTTTCCCTTGAGTGAGTACCACTGTCTGGGACTCTGTTTGACCAGTCACTTTGTCACCTTCATGTCATAAGTTGACCTCTAAAAATTCATTTCCTTTTCACTGTGTGGCTGGCAAGGTTGCGCTACAGCTTAGCAAACAAGTTTTTGAAGTATTTGTTCTTAATTTTTTTTCATTATGCCACTGTACAGTATGTTTGTGTTCTCAGCAAGGCAAGAATGGTTCTCTCTGGTTCCGATTGGTCTTTTTGTACTGTTCTAATAATATTTTTAAAAAGATATTTGAATGAAGTCTACTTTGAAAGAACTCCATTATTTTCCTAGATGGAAATTAGTCCTCTGTGCAATTTCTAGTCCAGCATGAGCAGTGCTCACACTGAGGTCAATGCAAGTTTTAATTCAAGAATGACCATAGGCTAGAGACAAGGTAGCCCTATCCTGTGCTTGTCCTTGACATGTTTTTGTGCTAAAAAGTGTTTAATAATATTTAAACTCTATTATTAAATAAAGAACACTTTGTTGTTTTTTTTAATGTGAGTATGAGGAGACTCACGCAGGAAGCACAAAGAAATTGCAAGCCTTGAGGAAAACATTCAGGTGGAAAAACTGTGGTGAAAGTTGGAATAGAATTTCTGGAAAAGCTGTGAAGTGAAGGTTTAGAACTTGAATTTGAAATGCAAGGGTTCATGAAGTCAGTAAAAAGGCATGAAGGTGTTGCGAGGGGTATCAGAAAGTAAGATTGATTGTTTCTAGTGTTTTCAAATTGAAGGAAAAAGAGATTGGGAAGCTGGAAAAGCAGAGAACTAAATGTTTTGGCAATGGTGGTGTTAAGAGGTGATCTTGGAAATGATGTGCAAAAGATTGTGGCAGAGAATAATAATGTGGAAGAGGTGGTGGCTTTGGAGAAATGCAGGAAACTTACAGATGTCCAAGGAAAGCTCTCTTACTTGAATTTTTAGAGGCTCTTAGCTTGTCTGAAAGACAAGTTAGAATCAGGTTACGCAAGAAAAAAATGCTGGTTTTCTGAGGAATAATAACTGATTATGGGAAGGAGACAAGGAGGAAGCTCAGGTTTAGAAGCTGCTAGATCTGAAAACCAGTGTCAACAGTGGCATTTCAGGAAAAGTGGTACTTTAATTCAACATTTCATTTCCCCCAGGATTGTAGTTTTCCCCCTCTGAGGCATCCCAGCTTGAACTGTGCTCGTGATGTTGATAGCTCCTAGTATCAGCCCCAGAGGAGGGAGTCTGCCAATGGGGGAAGGGTAAGTATCTGTTTTTATTAAATATTGAATAGTTTTCTGAAGTTTTCTGTATTCATATTTTATGTCCAATAGGGTATAAAATAAGAGTATGAAAAGAAAATTTTAGAAAACTGAGTATTGAATAAAAACAGATTTACCTTTTCCATATAAGCAGACTTCCTGTCCCATCCTAGGTCTTTAGTGGTACTGTCTTCATAGAGCGTTATTTATATACTGGGGATATCTTGGAATGCTAAGATTCTTATTCCAGAGAGATGTTTACAACAGTCTATGGGGTCTTTTGTGGCACTAGGAAAGAATAAAAGGTTTCTTTAAAGAAAATACAGGTTTTATGCTGAGGTTCACTGATACAGGTATGGGACTGAGTATTGAGAGAATTTTTATTTTACTCTGTTTTAAAACCTGCATCCTGCATCCATCTGAAATACGAGATGTTTAAGACAATTTTAAACCCACAGGCACTATTATTTTTGTGGGGTTTTTTATTTTTTTAATTTGTTGAAAGAAATTTAAAATCATGTGGTGCTTCTCACAAGAGTGGGAACATTAGTCCCAGTATTCTTGACAAATTTTCCAATTTGGGTAAGAGCATTCTGCCTACTTAAATTCTATAGCAGGTATAAGTGGATATGTGCTCTTCTGTCCCTGCCTGAAATTGCTGCATAAAGAATTTGATATACACTGAGAAAACGGTACATCAGTGACAGATAAGGTGTTGTGTCACTTATCTTCGTGCCTGCTGTTCTCACTCAGGGGCATTTGGCATGTACTTAAACCTGTGCTCTCTGTTCTGTGGACAGAGGACTTCAGTCTGCATGGCTACCAAGCTTTCATGGGCAGTAAAATCACATATGCAGTTTCTTAACAAGAGACGAGGAAGAGAACTTGCTGCAGTAGATGACGTGTAATACTTTACAAAATATTTTAATATTAAAATACCTTTCATGACTCTGAAGGTAAATTTTTATTTCAACACTTGTAGAATATGTTGAATAAAACATATTCTTGTCTTTGTGTGGCTTGCTAGAGTCTTGAAGAGATTCCTAATGTTTAAATTATTTGTTATTTCTCATTATCTTTTGCAATTCCTGAGATGTTTTGGGCTGACTGGTCACTTGACTGGGGAACTCTGACCCTTGATAATGGTGGAAAATGGAGGTAATTCCTGCTTAGGAAAAGCACAAATGCCTATCCTGCTTAGCATAGTCTCAAAGCTCTCCAGTGCAGTTCCTAAAGCTATCATACTTAGTGAAGAGGCAAGTCGTCAAGGCCAGATGATGTTCAGCTTAAGTGGTTTTGAATCCATGCTGATGGGAGCACTTCATACAGTCCCATTGGAATATGGGATTTTGTGTGTGGGGATGTATCCTCAGGTCTAATTGATTTCTAGGTATAAAGGAGCATTATTATTATTTTCTTTAGTCCTTATGTGCTATGGAGTGAACAATATCTGTTGTAGCTTTAAATTGTAAATAATCAGTCTCTTGAAGAATGATGATAAGGAATCTTTATATTTTAGTATTTTTTCAAATGAAATTAATATGATTTTTGCTCTGTCAAGCCATAGCTTCATGAACAGTTTATACGAGCAGAGGTCAGTTTGTGCAGCTTTGCAGTCAGGAAACTGGCTTGAAAACGCAGCTGACGGATGGAAAGATGACTTGATTCCTACGTAGGTACCCCACAGGGATGTACTGTCACGACGAGTAAGGAGGCAGAGTGAATGGCCAGGGGTTGAATGGGGAAAGATGACTGTCTTTTCTGGTACCATCAGGAACTAGTGCCTGATTATCTGATTATGGTAACTTTTCACATTAAAAAAAAAAACGAACAGCTTTGTGGTTGGTCAATCAGTACATATGTTGCTTTAAAAAATAAGAATAACTGATACATTATTGCTTCTATGTAGCTTGTTTAGGGCTTTGTAAACAGAACAGAAGTGTTCTTCGGTGACAGAACTCATCACTTAATCATAAATCATATTTTGTTGTTTTGCTATTTTCTTCAGCTAAGTAGTAGTCTACATTAACGGTTTCCCTCCATTAAGTGGCTGTGTAAATATTGTGCAAATTGCTGTGATTCATTACAATCAGAGCTGTTACAGTAAGGTGATACAATTCAATGCAATCAGTGAAGACTGGACTCTGTGTGGTAGAATTGTACTGAAAACTTTCATGGGCTTTTCTGGGAGGTCCTTTTTCTTGTTACAGACTCTTGACACTGTGCGGTGTTGACCATGTTAATTTTCCCAGTGTTTTTCAAAAAAAAAAGTCATTTATAGAGCTCACTAAGATGTTCTTAAATTTTTGTTACTGAATTTTACATGACACTGCAACTTCACAATCATTGTTTTTAGTTTTAATAATTTTTACATGACACATCCCCTCCTCCAACCTTTTATGCAGATCAATCTATCATGGATGTTTTGAAGCATAAGTGTTTTCTAGAAGAATTATTATTTTGGACAATAAAATACGAGTTTCCACAGAAGATGGTGACTTTCTTACTCAACATGCTGCCAGATCAAGATTATAAGGTACTTGCCTTACTTCATTCAAACTTAAATGTCTTTTCTTATTCACATACTTAGTGTATATTATGCGTTGCATAAGACCACATATGTTTATATTTGAATAATGAACGGTAAAATAATGCAGATCTTTTACCTTGTTTTGAGTATTTTGTTAGAAGGTCTGAAGTGTATAGTATTTTAAGAGATATGTGGACAAAACAAGATGGATAATTCTGGAGCAGCAATATTAATTTTGTTCTTATGGTTTGTTTTTTCCTTTTTGGCTGTTAGTGCATCTGTGCATGTGTTGGATTTTGTTTTGGTTTATTTTACTTTGTAAATTGGGGGGTTTATCAGTTAAAAGATGTGGATCAACACTGAATGATTCTGTAGCGTGGTATGACTGGAAAATAATTGTGGTGATTTCATTCCTGTTGCAGCTGGTGTAGTAGGCAGTGGTTTCTGCATATAGGCCACTACAGTGTGAGTGTTCTGGCAGCAGCTATGCCCTAGGTGATTTTGGCAGCCTTCCAGGTGCTTCTTTACAGAGTTTTGCACTTGTCTGTACCAAGTGTCTCCTGGCCTGGAGTCACAGAGACTGGATGTCATCTTCCTGTTTTAAATCTTGATGTGCAGCCAGGTTTGGTTGTTTGCTCTACATGTTCCCAAGACCTAGTATTACATAGCAATCAGGCTTAACATTTTGCTCTGATCATGTCATACCTTTGAGCCATGCAAATATTTTGGACCTCCTCAATCCCTGCTGGGAGACAAAGATCAAGAAATCCTGAAGTTTAGGCCTACGGATTTCTTTAAAAATGTCTGTATATAATGGGACAGCCCTGTATTCATGCCCCCTTAAAACCTTGCTGTATCAAAGCAAAGGATAGGAAGATAACTTGCAAGAAAAAGATGAGATATGGACCTTCAGCAATACTCTATCCATGTGAAGACAGCGTTTTGATTTGGGATACCAGCATAGATTGATCCTGGTCTTGGATTCAGCAAACACATGAGGACTTCTTAACTGATGATCCCTTGCCATGGAGCTTGAATTCTTCTTGATACTTGGAGACCCATGTGGACTTGCAGTTCTTCTGATCCATTATCAGCTAAACTCCTGCCTGTAAAAACACCCAACTGCTATCAGCATGCAGAGGAATCTGGTAAGTGTTGCTATGTTTACCTCTTTACTATACCATGTAATAACAACAACTTTTAATGATCATGGGATCTTTTTTCCTTTGACAACAAGCCAAAGTCTTCAGTGGCTTGCTCCATTGTGTTCATAATCTTTCTTCACTATGCACTCAGAATGGAGACCATGGTGTATTTGGTTTCTGTATTGGCTGCCACCTTTATCTGGAAATAGTCCCAACTTCCACCCACCAATACTTTATGTTCAGATGAAAGGATTATTTAAACATTCCTTTTTTTTGTTACCAATTTGATTAAACAGTTATTTCCTATGTACAAACTTTATTACAAGCACAGATCCTAAGTATTTGATAGAATCTATGTTTTTTTGAATTGTGACTATCTAAAATATATTTTTCAGTAGTAAGGAAACTCAGAGCAGGAAATGTATCACTCTTTTCTTCCCAAGATACCTGTACTTTGTTGCAAAACTATGTCAATGATGTATGAATTTTAAACATGTCTGAGGATTGTGGCTAATTTAAAAGGAGTGGCTCTGCCTTTTACGTGTATACAGACAGAACATACCATTTGGGGATAATTTAGAAGAATGTTTTATCTTTCAAGCTTCCATTTAGCTTTTATGAAGGAAAAGCTTGTTTGATGTTTAATCATGTTGCATTCTCAAACAGTAGGAACACCTGTAGGGATATAAACTGTTCCAAGTGATCTCTCAGCTTTCTGCCTTTTTCTCCCATCCCATCTACACCACATATACTGTCTTAATTTTTTCTGTTTCTGCTGTTGTGCAATTTGTCTGATTCTCCATGAGCTGATTTAAGTCTCTAAATCAGCAGAATTCTGCTAGGTTGGTTTTCTGATAAACTGAGTGAACTAGCCAGACACAGAGCTGGCTATCTGTGCACGCTCTGAAATTGTTGAAATCTCTGACCTACAGCATAAATGTAGTAGAGCTGAGCGAATCCACCATACCCTATGCAGCAGTCAGTGAACCACCAGCAATCTCTGTTGCACAGATTTATTTTTATAGGCAAATAAACTCCTCTTTTAGGATTCCCAGTATCGAAAAGAGATGTTGAAAGGGGTGGGCTAAAACCCTGTGTTAACTAGCTCTTCCCCCCTTATCTCTTTTGCATATGAGAGAGACAGCACAACAAACAGTGTGGTCTTTGCCTTACAGGATTTGTGCCTGAGCCATCCCTTCCAGCACCCTCTGACATTTGAAGCTTGGAAGACTTACAAGTGAAGAAATAGAAAACAAAAGAAATTTACTGGAGCTTCCAAGAAATCAGAGGTGTTATGGTGTGAACTAGGTTTCTGCAAGACGAAGAACAAAAGACCAGAGAAATAGAACTGATGTTCACGTGACCGAGGCGAAGGCAAAGAAGGGGTTGGCAATAAACAGGAAGCTGATGGAAGAGTGTAAATCATCCAAGAGCAGAGCATTGCTGAAATTTGGAATACTAGAAGTAGAGAAATGCAAAAGCATCTGGTAGAGATAAGGAATCAACAAATATAATTGTCAGAAGTGCTATGTCTCGTCAGGCACCTCCCGTAGTGAACATTGAGGCAGTTATTACAGCAATAGGACTTCACTAACCTCTGGATATGCTGTTCTACGAATCTGTAGAACAGTTTTTCTATTGGAAACTCAATTTTAGCACAGCTTTCACCTCGCAGAACTGTCTTTCTCTTTCCACTGAAAACATAAACATGGGAGATGCAAGTTCTAGCTGAAACATAAGGTTGATGTTAGGCTCCTAAAAAATTCTGGGATTGTTGAGTGGCCACCAAGAGGAAAGGCCAGATGGAGAAATTAACTTTGTTTTTGCATAGGATAGAAATTTAGAAGCTGCATGAGATCATAGAGTGTAAGTCAGTGAAGGTCATTAAATATACAGAAAACATGTCTGTCCTAGGAAGCCACTTCTTGCAAATAGTTGGAAGCTGAGTAGGTATTTGGAAAGATGTGTTATGTCAATATCTGTATTCTTGCTCCATTCTATATTTTTCCTTGGTTGTGTATACATCTTAGGCTACTCAAAGACAGTATACTGAGCTGGATGGACTGGTTTGACCTACTATGGCTGTTTTATATATGGACTGCAGTTTACCACAGTATTTCAGCATTTTCACTTCTGGAAGTGAATTTAGTTTCTTCCTCTCAAAATTGGAAAGGATTGTATTTGTTTGTTTAACTTCCAAATGAATGTAGGCGTAAAGCTTATGTCTCTTTTTAAGTTTGTTAGAGAGTCTCTATCATTATACTATATTGATAGTGAATCTACAGTACTTTCACAAATTCGTTATTCTAGGAGTGAGGCACAAAAAGTTTTGATGCATGAAGATTTAAAATAAATAAATAAATTCAAAATTTGTCCTCAGAGGAGGATCATGTTTTTGCAATCAACTTGAATTGAGAGTGCTGTGTAAAACATAGTGTCTACATCACAGAACCTGAGAATTTTATTTAAACATAATACAATATGAAGAAGTAAATAAAAGTATACTTTTTTACTAGCAACTTCAGTATACTAACTTCTTAAAATATCAGATGCATCATTTGTGTCTAAGGCTTAACATTAATAGTGTAAACATCTTGATGTTTGTTTTAAGTGTCATTGCCAGTGATTAAAATTGTATCAAGCTTTAATTTGAATGAAGTTATATGATAGGTTGTTCTACCTTGGAATACCAGAATGATATTGTATTAACTCTGCACAAGTATTGCAAATACGTTGTTCCGAATGGCTTTAGCTGAAAATAATTGCCATTGTGCTGGGTGTTGTACGTAGAAGACACCTTCAATTATTATTCAGGTTTCCATCATTGTGGACCAGCTAAAGGAAGGCAAGTTAAGCAGTGTTGTAGTGTTTCCTGCAGTGACATCCCCATCCCCACCTTGGTCCATTTTTTTTGCATGAGCAACATTATTTTGGAGGATATTTGCTGGAAGAAGCAGTCTTTGTGCCCAGCAGCAGCATTACAGCATCATGATATTTTGGGAAATATTTTCTAAATGAGAATCACATGGTAGTGCCGTAATAAAAATATGGGAGCACTGAGTCTGAGGCAGGTAAAATAAAGTTTTGATTTGTATGAAGTCTGTTGAAAACACAGCTGCCTGAAGGTGGTTTTAAAATTTCTAATTTTATACTTCTGAGAGGTTAATACTTCCAGAAGGAATGAACAGGGGATTTCAGACTTTGAGCTGAAAATTTTCATCACTGCACAGCTATTATCTCTTCTTATTAAGCCAAGCAAGTCCAGATGGTGTTAATTCAGAACTTAAAGTACCGAGTGGGAAGTGATTTCAAAGCTGGCACATATGCACACATGTGTATGCAGTGCAAAAGGTTGGTTTACTATGCAATTTGAGGCTAATGGAGTGGGACAAGAAATTGTACTAAGGTTTACATGTATATGCATTGATACATTTCAGTACTGGTCTGGTTTAAAACAACCCGGACAATTGTATGAAGAACAGCAAAGCTTACTAATGACTTTTAATTATTGAGGAGAAAGCGCTAAAGATTTATTAAAAAAATACAAGATGTTATGATAGCAGATGAAATTCAGTGTTGAAATGTCATCCTTGACAGATGAATGAAAACCTTACTCCATGGGTAGATGAGTGCGAGTTGTAAGTTAACGCAGCTTTATTAGGCACCACTACTCTCATTGTTCATAGTGTATTGTTTTAGGACATTAATTCTGGTTTTAGGATGTAAAGAAATTTAGGATTATTTATTAGAACTTTATTGCTTTCACAGGTATGCTGAGGCCTTATATTCCTTGTTTCAACATTTCTGGGGTTTTGTGATGTGGAAAGTATAGAATGAGAAGATTAGATTTTGGGATGAGGTAATAAAATTGGAGGCATAAGTTACCCCTCCCTATAGATAAGTTTTTTCATGTGCACTCTTTCTACAAACTAGATGTGGGCTACTTAGACAATCAGTTTTGGTTTGTCATGGCAACTGGTGTTTCCCAGGATATGTTGATTGTACTTTTGTAAAGGAATAGTTTATAATGATACTTAATATAATGATATATAATGATATTATATAATGATATATAGTGATATAAGCTATAATTTTTGTTTGGTGCTTGTTAACGTCAAAATTTCTTTTTAATTTGCAGATTGCTTTTACAAAAACTTTTGTTCAGCATTATGCTTTTATTATGAAAACACTGAAGAAAAGCCATGAATCGGACACAATGTCCAATAGAATTGTGCATATTAGTGTTCAGTTGTTCAGCAATGAAGAACTAGCACGCCAAGTAACAGAAGAATGTCAGCTACTGGACATTATGGTCACTGTTCTATTATATATGATGGAAAGTTGCCTTATTAAAAGTGAATTGCAAGGTAGGTTGATTTGTTTGTTTGCTTGTTTCCATTCCATAAATTTATTATAGATGAAATTTAATCTCTTTCTTTGGTACTCAGTCGATCCCCCAACTCTTTTCCAAAAATGCACAGGATCTAGCAATATATCGTAGAGGCTGAGTCTCAAAATTTCCTGGAAATGTAAAGGTAGTTATAAAGCATGTTACTGATGTTTTATCCTTTGGTTTGTAGGGGTTTTGTTGTAGGAATGTTATATAGGTTAGAATACAGAGTATTATCTTGCAGGTGCTTAGTTTGTTGGGTAAAGTGCATAAACAGTATTTGTGAAGCTCATATGAATGGGAAATTATATATGCAAATTGAGACCTTTATTAATTTAAAAAAGCTTGCAAAATACTTTGAAAATATGTTTGAAGTATTTAAAATTGTTTTAATTTTTCTCACCTGTGATTGACTTAATAAAACTTGATATAATTAGAGGAGAATGATTTAATACTTTGTAAATATAAGCATTTGATCAAGCTTTTGGTTGACAGTGGCAATTTAAACTTGAACTAGCGTACACCATGTAACTTTTCTAGTGAAAACAGCTGTCCTATTTCTACCCTCCTTGTTTTACCTGTCCTTACCTGAAAATGGTGGCACAACAAATCTTGCTGACTTCTGTTTTTCACACTTTCATGTACCTATACAGACTGCAGACCTCTGAGCCCTCTTTATCCTAGTTTGAATTTGAAAATACTCTCTAGATAGGCTTACTGCTGCTGCCAAATAAGTACCATCAACTTCTGCATGAAACTAATTTTTCTTGTCTGAAGTATCCTTTGTCTCCGAGTCCACTCTATGTATAGCCTAGTACAGAATGACTGTACTGAAATGGGAAATCCTCGGTCATCTAGCTATAAAGAGTGCCCTCATTCAGCTGCACTTCAACATGAGAAATTTTTCTGTTGCCCTACATAGATTGCTTTACAGTACTCAAAGAAAAACATTGAATTTTTAACAGTTTGTGTATCAATTTGTATATTAGTTTTGCTAAACTAATGCCATATTGGTGGAATGTCATTTAAAACTACTTTTAAGCATCTTCCGAATGCTATTTGTTGGTCAGTATGGGATGTTGCTAGCATTGTGGTAAGGTTCTGTAGTGGATCAGAATTGGCAACCAAACAGAAAAGGCTGTGGCTGTGATTAGACATTCTCTGAAGAAACTTCCTGGTAATTAATTATGTAAGCTGGAGCTGGTAAGTGACATAAGGTCAGATATGTTTGTGATAGATTTGTGAGAAAAGATGTGCTTCTGGTGCAGCTGTCCCAAGACATGAAGTTACCTGTTTCCTTAGCACCAATGATTTGTCTTAGCCAAGATTCCATCATGGAATCTGTCTGGTGCTTTTCAAGTGTTTTCACATTTCCTCCTCACTGCTTTATATAGGAGGGGTTGGGCATACTGTAAACTGACAGGAAAATGTTAATAAAATACTTCATTTTATTTTTTCCACCTTGTATTCTCATTGGCCTTCTTTTGCAGTTCTTTGGGCTTGTATCTTGTGTTTAGTTCAAGGTATCTCTTATTATGCTGGAAATAGTGAGAAGTCTATTAAAAGTATGCGCTGGTGAAATAAACTGAGAGGAATTCTGTTTGTGCAGCTAGTGCAAACAGGTAGGTGATTTAGTATCTGAATGAGACAGTTTACAAATCCAACCAATGGATAGATGGAGAAAACATGTTAGAGAGGAGCAAGGAGAACATGGAGCAGGAATTGTATCTGCTATGGCATGTTAATTTGCGTTGCTCACAGATCCTAATTGTCTTTTGGACAGCTGACAGTTGTTAAAAGTATACAGTTCATGAGTATTTGTAGATGCCAAGTGACAAACTGTGTTCGTGAAACAGAGTTGACCTAGGAGCTGTGTTGATACCAACTTCGAAAGTATTACTAGTTCAGCTTACCTCTCACATGTGGTGTGAAAGGATGAGGAGGAGAAATATGGGTTCTCTATCAGCACTTACCTCCTGAACTTTTCATGGGAGAAGAATTTACACCCCAAGGAAAAAGTTTTGATAGTGGTTCATCCTTCAAAAAAAACACCTCTCTGACTGACCTTACATTAACCCTGGCTCATAGAGTACTCTGAATAAGAGGCGATGCCACTGCCAATTTGAAGTAACTCTGGATTTGTGTAATCTATACCGGGGCAGAGAATCAGCAACATGTTACTGTTGGCTCTTTGCAAAGTCCTTCAGCAGGTTCAGGCAGAGCCAGCTTAGATGTTATCCTGTTCTTGGATAGGCTGAGTGAGCACGTGGGAACCAGGCAGCTCAGCAACAAGACCCAGTTTCCTTTCTTCACAGATGTACCAGATAACAAGAGAGAGATTAAAGAGTATTTGATCAGCTATGGCAGAGAAGTTTGAGAAGCTCCACAGAGCACTTCTGGCTTCCTATTCCTTCCAGTGCTCAGTGTAATAGCTAGGAGTCAGTCTTAAGAAACGGAGCTCTGTATTACCTTATGGTAACAAGAAGGTATCTGTTCATAGTTTTGTGCAACACAAGCAGCATATTTTTCAGGATGAAATTGATTCATTTTTCTGACTGCTGTGTTCTTGGGAAATAAAACTTCTCAAGATCAAAATGTTATGTGACTTCAAGTTAGAAAACCTGTTGACATAACTGGCAAGAGAGTAACTTTTTTTTTTCCCTGGTACCGATAAATCAACAAAATAAACAACCTTAGAGTAAAAAGAAAAAAAGCATTTTCTTCAGTAGTTACAACAAAGGTGAGGAAAAAAGCTTGCATATATACCAAAGGGAACCGCTCCAGATACAGATGTGCTTTATCAGTCAGAGACTGGAGTCTCTTAATAACAGTGTCTTCTTAGCTGTGGCTGCGCTGTACAGGTTATGACCCTTTCACTGTGCAAAGGGTAACTACAAGGGTCCTTCAGTGCATTTGAACTGGACAAGAGCCATGCCCAAGGCTGATCATCAGATGCAAAATTTTCTTTCTTCTGTTCGCTTGAAATAGAATAGCAACTGACAGATGGGTGCTGGAAGTTATTTCCCTTGGATTGTGAATCCAGGATGAATCCTGTTTCCCTTCTGGTCTTTCCAGGGGTCTATCCCTCTTATGAAAATCAAATAAAGAGATTTATTTGACAGCTGTAGAGGATGTACTTCCGTGATTTGGGGGGGGGACACTTCTACACACAGCCTCCTGCTTCATGACTACTTCTCCCTTCTTTTGTGAACCTTCTACTGCCCTGGTCTCAGGAAGGCTGCATAAACCCTCTCTCTGTCCCAGCTTCAGAGTGGAAATGCTTTTCTCTGCTCTCCTTCTCAGATTCAACATGCCAGTGTAGGTTTTGATCACCAGATTCCCATTTGAATGCTGTAAGGTAGCTTGCTTGCTGGAAGTGTGTCAAGTTCAAAGTAGATTTCAGATGTTCATAATAGGAATTGCATTGTTTGGTCTTTTTTATTCTTCTTGAGAGTATTCCAAAAAAGGCATAGCTGTGGTGGTTTTACTAACATGCTGCTTTTCAAAGATTGCGATATTGTTCAAAGTACATGTGTCTCCTCCTGAGTGGGATATATGTTGATGAGTCCATGATGAGAGAACAGCCTCAAGTACCACAAACAATCATTCTTCTTTTCTGCAGTTTTTTCTGTGTGTGTCTGATTGCAACATTACAGTAAGTCCCAATTGTTATTTTTTGCATTATCTAGTAGCTTTATCTAAAAATTACAACAAGAAGGAAAAAAACCCTTTTTCCTTCTCCTTTCTTTTTTCTTTTCTTTTTTAAATCTAGATGAAGAAAATAGTTTACATGTTGTGGTGAATTGTGGAGAAGCACTACTGAAGAATAATACTTACTGGCCCCTGGTTAGTGATTTTATAAACATACTTTCACACCAAAGTGTGGCAAAGAAATTTTTGGAAGATCATGGTCTTTTGGTAACATGGATGAATTTTGTATCATTCTTTCAAGGTATGTGACTCTTATAATCAATATTAATACAAGGATGTTAAGATAGCTTAATGTTTGAGGTAACAAAATCCTTACACTGCTGTATGTAAATACTTAATTCATTAGTGTTCTCGTACGTCTGTATTCCTGGAAGGGAACAGTATATTCTAGAAAACAGGTAGATTTGAAAATGATCTAATGGATCTTTGTGTTGCGTGGACTAGTTAAAGAGCAATTGCATCACACTTGACTGAGATTCATGGTGCCAGAATTCTCAGGTTGTACTTAAAGTACAGATCATAACTTATACTGCACCAGTGTTTTACTGGCGAAGTTCTAAATTTAAACATTGAGTAAATGTTAAATTTGATAAATTTGGATCTTTTTCTAAGTGCTGCCATGAAGAAACTTTTTTATTATGTAAAACAAATACTTTAAAATCATGAACTTTTCAATACTGATGAATGTTCTGCATAGAAAGAAGATCAGATATTTTCCATCCACATGTTCTCATTAACTAAGTGAGATTCAAACTAGAAGGACTGCACTTAACTAGCCAGTCTAGAGCTATTGTTCTTTTCTGGTCTATTGCTGTTCAAATTTTGATGCTTGTTCTCATATTTGATCTATTATTCTGCTGCTAGATAAAATAGATTGTTACATTTTGTGGTTTTTTGTCTTAATAGGTGTGTGAATGCGTAACAGTAAAAACACTGCATTCCACTTAGCCCTGGTTAAATATTTGGTTGTATAACTCTGCTTAAATCTTTGAAGGTATGAATTTAAATAAACGAGAATTAAATGAGCATGTGGAGTTTGAATCGCAGACATACTATGCTGCCTTTGCTGCTGAGCTGGAAGCCTGTGCCCAGCCAATGTGGGGTCTTCTGTCACACTGCAAAATTAGGGTAAGACTACCCTTTCTCTGTCATTATTCTTGGTTTTATTCTTTACTTGAGTTCTCAAATCTGAAAGGTCTTCTGGTTTTTGTGTTTGAAAATACTTGGGTTTTGCTGTCTTTGTCTGCCAAACATATAAAACCATGATCAATTCAGATTCTGTGTATAGTGAGTAGAGAATTTATACTTGTACCTACTTTATTGTCTTCAGAACTGGGACTACAAGTTCCGGATGTGTACAGTCAGTCCGTATGACTGTACATATGGAATAACTTCTGATGTGATGGAGAACTTGATGAATGTCTCTGAATGTGATTCTGCCTTTGTTCAGTGGGAAAGGAGATACAGAAATCACCCTAATGTGATTATAATGTTGACTGTGTCAACAAATGGACACTTTGTTATGATGGGGGATGGAGTAATTTATGGGTTTGTGTTGTTTTACTAACAGCCTGAGGTGAAAGCCTCTTAGATTTTGACATCTCATGGTCTCCTAACTAGAGCAAAGAGTTGTTACTATTTGCTAGACTGTGAATTATATGAGGTTATAATAAAAATAGAAACTGTCAGCTTACAGGAATACTTAAAGTGAAAAAAATGTTTTATTGTTTTTTATGAAATAAATACTTATCTTTTAGATTAGCTTATTAAGATACATAATAGTGTCCATGAGACAGTAACACCTGAATTGAACTGTGCACTGAAAAAATGTACATGAGCATACTGTGCAATTTTAAAGCAGTTTAAATCAGGCAGTTGCAAAAGCCTTTCCATGAAGTAAATTATACATTATGAATATATCCATTTATGAGTCTAAATTTAATCTTTTGAAAAACTGAATTATAACTTCTGGCTTTTTCAAGTACTCCTTTCTTTTTAGCTTAGCGGTGGGAAGTTCTGCCTTTTGTTCAAGGCCTGTATGATTCCTTGCTCCACCTATCAGCTTGTCAGTCCTATTTTCACCCCCTATTTGGACCCATTGATTGTCCTCAATAAATCTGAAAGTGTAGGAATTTCATAGCTTAATTGTTGTATTTGCTTAGTGAAACCTGATGGGTAGGAAGAGATTCCAGCTTGTGTCCCAGAGGAGGGGGAGAACCGGTGGAGCCTGGCCACCATAGAGGGTGGAGCAGCAGGATGGGAGCCTGTGGCTGTTGTATTTCCTGATGAGAAAAAGTGTCTGACCGAGCCAGCTGGCACTGGCACAGCTTCTGACTGGCCAAAGCACTGCTGGCTTTTGCATGAGAAGTGTGTCATAGATATCCTAAGAGTGTCAGGCAGGTCTGGAGTGTGTGTTTAGGGGGAAGGGAAGATTAAAGGAAAAGTCCGTTAAGAAATCAGGAACTGTAAGTTCTGCTGACCACAGAGCAAGTTGGTTTAGCTCCCCTCCCAACTTTCCTTCTTGCACATCACTGCTTCGTTCCTGGAGGGCAATGTACAGCTCTAGTCTTGAAATACATGATTTAATCTGAAATACATTATAGTTTTAGGGCATTGTTATAGAGTTATATCATAGCATCCTAACAAGGTTTGCTTATTGTTAAAATCTATGCAGTATTGTGTTATTGTTGTATTTCGGGTGTGTTGTGTTAGCCAACTGTAAGGACCTTTCAGTAGATAAAACTTACAGGACATTAGCCATTCCTTTTGGTTGCATAGAAAGACTTACCTTTTTTGTGCTTACATCTCTAAATTTTTGGTAAAAATAAATGGATAAATTAAACAACAGTAGGCACTAGGACCAGCTGACCATTCTGAAGGTGCCTTAATTCTCACCATTGAAATGGTCGTCTTTTGGAGTAACAATGAAACTCCCAATACTTACTAATTTCCATATGATGAGGGCATAAATTGTGTACTGTAAAAATATTCTTAATCATATTTATTTGTAGTAGGAAAACAGTGACACGCACTTAAAACTGTCTTGGCTTGTGTAGTATGCTGGTATCTTTTACTGCAGGAAACACAGGAATACACACGAAATGTTGTCAGATACTGCCTTGAAGCACTTCAGGACTGGTTTGATGCTATCAACTTTGTAGATGAGGTAAATATCCTTAGTGAATTTAAGCGAAGTACGGTGGAAAAAAAACTGTACTACTTCAAAGGTGATACATTCCCTCCCCCTTTCCCCCCCCCCCTTAAATTAAATCATCATTCTAGGTATTGAATGAAAAAGGATTGCCTTGCTGATACTAGAGTTTGTAGTTAATAGTTGCAATGTTATGTCCTGGGATCCTTTATTTGTAGAGTCTTAGTGATTTAGATTTGCTGGTGCAAGCTTAAGCTGTGTGAATCTTAAAAGCGGCACTACTGATGTACTATTGTTCTGCTGAATGAAGAGCTGAGGCCATACCAAAACAAAAGTCCTCTTCTGATATGGTAGAGGGGAGCAGCTTTGCCACCTTAGCAAGAAATATTCTCAATCAATTCAGACTTGTCGCTAGCTACTGGGGGCTTAGTAAGAGATTAACTACAGCTGTCTGAATAAGGGGAATTTTTGATTTGTCATAAAGTGTTCAGGGGAATGAAGTAATAGTAGGTTAATGGAAAGTAAGTCCCTCAAACGAAGACATGCAAGATACGGTTATTGGTGGTTGTGACAAAGGCATTTGTAGGTTTATTTTTTAAATATATGATATTTTAATATCTTTCTTTTACTTTCAGCCAGCTCCCAACCAAGTTACTTTTCATTTGCCACTGCACCGTTACTTTGCCATGTTTTTAAGTAAGGTAAGCACATGTTTTAGTTACACAGAACATGGAAATTCCCTGTTGAGTATGATTGTTAAGTACAGCATGTGCTTGCTTTTGTTTCTAGGCTGTCAAATGCCAAGAGCTAGATCTGGATACTATCTTGCCAGATCAGGAGATGCTGATGAAACTAATGATTCACCCACTTCAAATTCAGGTACGGGCAGACTTCTGACTTTGCAGATGTAGAGATATACTACAAAAAATAGTTGCTGTCTGATTCTTTTAACCCCAGTCATTTAAGTATATTTAGAAGTATTTAACAAGGGGGAGTATGTCTTAATTGTGGAATATATAAAGAAGCAATATCTGACAATAATGAATATTTATTGAGTATATTGAGTAGTTAGGATAAACTTTTTTTTTCTTCCTATTTCCAAAACTAAATACGTGGCATTAGTTATTGTAATATTCACTATAGCACTTTCAGAAGGGTAGGAAGAACCAGCCCTTTGAAAACATGGAATTGCATGTTCATGGAATAGCTACGAATGGAGCACAAGTTGAGAAGAAACCTGAATCTGAAAATTTCATATTTTAAATTGAGAATGAGTTCAAGGATGGATGCACCCTGCAACTTTTTTTTAATTTACAAACTGGTATTTGTTTCTATGTAAGTGGTAGTGAGCAATATTTGCTTTTATATCGAACTTCTTTTTAACATGATGCCTTCATCTTTGGAGTACTTTTCAAGATTTTAATAAATACATAAATAAATCACTTCACTGGCTTTGATTACTTTTGTTGTCTGAAATATGCTCTAATGTGAAATTATGGTATCTGTTTCATAAACTTGCAGTGGTTCCTTTTCATCCCTTGCTCCCCAGAAGTAAATTAGTATAAAAAAAGTATACTTTTATATAAAGGTGTAGTGTGTATGTATGTATGTGTGATAATACATTGATGATCTGCTAATGTTGAACTAAATAGCTGAATATCGCTGAAATGTTTGTAACTTTTTATTTTATTTTATTTTCCCTGAACAGGCAAGTCTTTCTGAAATTCACAGCAACATGTGGGTTAGAAATGGTCTACAAATTAAAGGACAGGCCATGACTTATGTGCAGTCTCATTTCTGCAATTCAATGATTGATCCTGACATTTATCTGCTGCAAGTAAGTCAAGTTTTCTGTGAAGCGAAGCCAATGCTTGTTTACAAACAAACTACTGAATAAAATGAGTTTATTCTCTTTCCACAGGTCTGTGCCTCTAGGCTAGACCCAGATTATTTTATTTCATCCGTTTTTGAAAGGTAGGGTTAAAAGATGAATACTCTTGTTCAGTGTTGTGCTAGCTGTTGACTAATTTGTGCCATGTGAGAGAAAAAGTGCATATCTGATACACATCTTCAGTGGTAACAACTCTGTCTAGCCAAAGCTAACACTTACCTAAGGTCTCTACCGAAAGAGATATCTCAAGGTATATCCTCAATTTTATATAGGATTGGCTTTTGATTTATGGTACAGTAGTGAAGCTTCAGATACTTGTTTTCTTAGCATCTTTAGTGTTTTTTTTGTTTTACACGTGTTCATATTCGAGACATTCTCTGAGACATGGTTTAGTGAGTTTAGTGGGCATGGTGGCATTGAGTAGACAGTTGGACTTGATGATCTTTGAGGTCTCTTCCAACCATAATGATTCTATAATTCTGTATGCAAGCTTTCAGGATATGCTAGCCTGAAGAAGTAGATAAATAGAGCTGCAAGAGTAAGAGAGACAGAAAAGATGTCTGCTTTTCCACATAGAATAAAATCAGGGTTTGAAGACAGATTAATTTGCATTAGCTTTTATATGTTCATAAATGCAAGGTGTTTTCATGTGGAGTAAATATCACTATAGCACATTCCATATAAAGTTAAATAAAAACACAAATTAAAAAATAAGAGAGTTTTCATATATGTTTGTGTATTATTGCATTATATGCATTTAATTTTATATTCATTTTGGGTTGTTGTGAATGATATCCTGAGTTTATCAGTGCATTTCACATTGGTATTTTAATATTGGAGAACGATTTTTCTGACTTAATCTTTGCTATGTAGGTTTAAGGTGGTAGATCTGTTAACGATGGCATCACAGCATCAAAATACAGTTCTTGATTCAGAGCATGAAAGGTCCATGTTGGAAGGAGCCTTAACTTTTTTGGTCCTTCTGTTAAGTCTTCGTTTACATTTAGGTAAGAATCACTCCTTTAGGAATAGTTGTATGTGAATAACATGCTTGTTCATTTATATTCAACATTTAGTAGCTACCATAAAGCTGATTAGCCATGTAGTAACTTAAAGCATTCAACACTTGGTTTCATTTTTGCCAGCTACTCAATTTTAATCCCTTATGAATTAGAAATAAACATAATACATAGAAATGGAGAAAAATGGCTTTAATGGAAGTGGGTGATTTGTGTATGGGATCCCATGCAGATTCTGTGTCTTTTTCAAAAGGCAGGAGTTTTAGTTTGTAGCTATCTTTTCTGACTGAGATTGTGTCTCTCAACATTTGTGCCTTCCCCCCTGCTTTTTGTTGTATTTTTATAGCACTGTATCATTACTTAATGTTTGTATCAAGTTTAACTTGAGTTTAATGACAAATGTATGCTGAATGTGTTTTAAAATCATGCTATTTTAATGGCTTTTTAAATTTTACTGTTCTAGGAATGACAGATGATGAGATTCTCAGAGCAGAGATGGTAGCCCAACTCTGTATGAATGACAGGACACACAGTTCATTATTGGATCTCATATCCTTGGAATACTTTAAATAATGTGCATGAATGAGAATTACAGGTACCTGGATAGTAGTGGGATTTGGAGCTTCAACATGTTTTCATCTTACATAATTTATAACAACTTGTGTAAAGGTGTGTTTGCATATACTTACCAGCAAAGGCATTTGCTCCAGCTTTGGTTTTTCTTACAAAATATGTGATACTTTGTAATAGTTTTAAATTAGTTTTGATACAATATGCTAAACTGCTCTTTTTATTTTTATTGGTTTTAATACTACAGAAGTCTTTTAGGTGTGATGTGAAAAGTCTGTTTTCCAGTGACATTGTAGAAAGTTTAGCCAATCGTCACCTTTTATCTGGATTTGAGCCTTTAATTATTACTAATTTTGTGCCAGTATAAAAAGAAGCCAGTCTATGCTATATTGGCTTTTGCTATCAATAGGTGACAATGCAAATAATAGCAATTATGAATGCTGCTTTGAAATTAGAGTGGAATGCATGTGTTACGGGGGCAAGTGTCTTACTTGAAGAACAGGAAACTCTAGCAAGTCTTTCCAAGCAGTCACACAGTTTGTGTCCTCAAACAGCTGAATGCGAATACGCAGGTGTAGTAGCTCTCAGTGTAGTAGGCTGTGTAGACAAATTATATAGCTTGTGGCAGTTGCCCAAAAGACCTTGCAATCTGGGGATAGGCATTGAGCAAAAATAATAGGAATTTATAAAGATAGGAAAGGAGGAGACTGAGAGTTACAAATATGTAATAAGGATTATTAATTATTACAATATGACCTAGTAACTCAATCACTTAAGTATGTAAAATAATCAAATAACTTAAAGCGATTCACTTAAGTGATTCACTTAACTATGTAAAATAAGTGAATCATACGAGCAATCACTTATCACTAAACAGAAGTTTCCTTATTTGTAATTGCTACTTGTGGTTTGGGGTAATGTCAGTAGGTCAATTAAGTATTGCTAATAAAAATGGGAAATAGCCAATCCAAGATGGAGAGTTACTTACTGTGTTTATGGATCCAAAGCTATCTACTTGCTTTTTCTGCACTTAGCTGTAAATGCAAAATATTCTTGCTGTGAAGAGAGCCAACATGTGAGTAAATAAAGGCAAGTACAAAAACTACATACACTACAGATAGTAGTTTTTAGTTCTCATTTAATATTTGCCTCTCGAGCTAAGCGTGTAGCAATTCGCTTGCTTTAAAAAGTTTAATGTCCTACCTAGGAGGCTTTGATTCACTTGAGTAGTAGTTACTGTTGCATAACAGCTGGAGCATACAGACCTCTTGTGGTAAACACAGAGCACTGCCAAAACGTAGCCTCTGAAATGAGTAACCGAAAATGTCAAGTGGGAAATAAAATGCTGTGTCCTGCAACTAAGTTAACTTTGCTTTCCTTAACACAAACATTACATTCCAGAAAACCCCAATCCTAAAAGTGGTATTATTCCAGGAAGCTTAAGCTTTGAATCGGTCTTGTCAGCAGTTGCTGATTTTAAAGCTCCTGTTTTTGAACCTGGAGGTTCCATGCAACAAGGAATGTATACACCTAAAGGTATGGTAATTGGTGTCCTTTTATAACATACTCAGTGCTAAGATGCTTAACTAGAGGGTATTTTCTAAAAAAAAAAAGAACGAAAAAAGAGGAAAAGAAAAAAACCAAAACAACAAAAAACAACCCACCAAACAATGACAGAAACCCAGACCCACCTCCCTCCCCCCCAAAAAAATCCCAAAACCAAACACAAAACCACCACCACTCCCGCAAAACTTGTTTGACTTTTTCTTTATCGTCTATTGCCGATATTGAAGAGCATTGCTAAAGATTGTTGCTAGTCTTTAATAAATTTGGTTTGATCTAGAGTAAAAATGAGCTGCTTGTATTAATTCAGGTATCCTTAGAAAGCAAGGAAAAAATGGAGAACCGAAAAGTTGTTATTTGTGTTTCACTGATCTGCACACTTAATCATTCATATGATTTTAAAAAATCTGATCTACATTCAGTAGAGTTTTGAACTGTTTGCACTAGTGAGATGTCAGTTGCAAAGATATTTTCTTTAAACTTCTCCATATTTTGATTATTAAAGATATGATGATACATAATTCTTTCTTTTATATTGCTTAACTATCTTAGTATCCCTCAACATTTTTCGTGGTCAATAGTGAGGGCCTAGAGCAAGGTCGAGGCTAGACTGGTTCTAGACTATTGTTTTATAATTCTGCAATACATACAGTGCAAAAATTACAAGTCTCTTCCCCTGACCAGCTTGTCGTCTAAATTGGACTCAGCACAGTGTTGATTTATCAAAGGAGAGGAAGAATTCAAGAACTCAGTGTTCCATTACTGTTTCCTGTCACGGAGCAGATAAGCCTGTAGGAATCTGAAATGCTTCACGTGCTCTGGTTGTGCTTCAGCTCATGGCAAAGCTGAAGAGGGGTTAACTCCTTCCTCCCCCACTTGCCTCCTTGAGCTGGCAGGGTTGGGGTCTGACAATTTTGAAACTGTTTAATTTGTAGGCTGTGTTCTTTTATGGATTTTTTTGTTGTTGTTAATGTAGGAACTAATACTGTACTAACTTGTTTGTCAGTTTTTGTACTGGGAGATTGATGTGTCAGTGAAGCTGTTACAAATTAACAGCCAGTGAGGTTAATTTTTTGAAACCAAAGTTTTGGGAACTGATTCATTCTGGTTCCTTGATGTGTAGTTAGGCAGCTTAACACCTATGTATTTAAAATAACTTTATTTTAATGTTATGTACACTGCATTTCCTTATGCCATGTCTGGTTTCTGGAGCTTGTGACATGCTGGTCTTTTTCATAACATGGTGTGAAGGAAAAGAAAAGATGAATTATGGTATTTTTAATTATAACACTTTATATTTAGGGAATCTGATGCTAGATTATAGTGTTTGGGGTTTTTTGGTGTTTGGGTTTTTTTAACATAGTTTACCTCTGGAATACATTTTTTATCATAAAGGGTTTTTTAAGTATCTCCTCTATAGCAGTGAATACTGAAGTCATTTGTAACAGGGTGCAGAATCCCTTTTTCTTAAAGTAATTAAAAAATTTCTGCAGAGTTTCTGCAGGAATAAAAGCCAGCGTGGTTTTCTTGTTGTAGCCTTTTAAGTGTTTATAATCTTTGTAAGACTATATAGGTTCTCAAAGAATGGTGATATTCCAGTTGCTTTTAAGAATTGTAGTTTGTGGCCTGGCACTATTTAAGCAAGTCATGTTGACATCCATTCCCCCTAATCCCTTGTTTCCCTAAATTTAGGGGGGGGGGGGG